TTTATGGCTTTCGCTATACAATCGTTCCATACTCTCAGTCCCTTTCTTTTCTTATGCTTTTTTTTCTTTCCTAAAGTTTCATATGCTGCCCTCTCTATGCATTCCTTTATATTTTGCCATTCCTTATCCACATCATCGACAGTTCGAACACTTGACAGAAATTGCTGTAATCAATTTTAATATAGTCTTTTTATGCTTTCTTGTTCAAGTACGTACACTTTGAAAATTTCCTTACTTGTCTCTTTCCTTGGTCTAATTTTCTTCCATTTTGCTACCACATCGTTGCAATCACTAGGTAGTGGTCTGAAGATATATATCACATCCTCGGTGTACTTGTACATTCTCTAGTTGGTTACTAATTTTATCATTTGCGATTACATAATCTATCAGTGATCTGAGGCCTCTGGCACTCCAGGTGAACTTGTTTATTTCATTTTTCCTGAAAAAGATAGTAGCAATTTTTAACTTATTGAATGCTGCAAACTCTCTAAGTTCTTCTCCGTTTTTATTCAAGTGCTGTTCTCCAAATACCCCGACAACTCCCGGAATCGGAATGTTACCAACCTGTGGCGTTTAGGTCGCCACAGACGAGGGCATGATTATTTTTGTTTATTTTGCTTATTTGTTTTTGAAGATCGTCATAAAACGTCCGTGTGTCCTCTTTCCTTCCTTCTTCTGGAGCATACATGCCTATAGGTATTAAGTGGCCCCTCTCAATTTTGAATTTGCACGTGGCAATTCGCTCATTTACAAAGGAATTCTCCACTGTCCTATTTTTCCACCTCTTGTTAACCATAATTGCTACCCCACTACTTGCCCGTCTATTTTGAGTTACTCCACAGGAGATCATCTTATAATGTTTCATATATTTTGTATATTTAAGCTTTTTTTGGTTTCCGTTATGACAGCTATATCTATTCCTTTTTCGTTTTGTTTGTTATCTAGTTCTTCTTTATTACCTAGCCCACCTACCATACACTCCAGGTAGCTAGTTTTAGTCGTCCCGTAATACCGAATCGTTTATCCTTGGCATGCTTAAGTCGTTTCCATGATCCATCCAGTTGTGCATTGTGAAGAGAGCCAGTAGTTATTGAATCCCCTGGCCGCGTTTCGAGCGCTGCGCAGGTTAAGTTTGGTAGTGGGGCTGCCACCTCACAGCTTCCAAACAAGCTGGGTGGTATTTTGGGCCACCGACCCTAGGCGGATTGACTTTGCTGGGCTTAGAGTTCCGCCTACCCTTTCGAGGACAGTCTCGCCATGTCGAAGCCGAAGATTTACGTCGGAACTTCCTCTTCTTCGTTCAGGTCCTCTTCTTTGGGGCCTCTTCTAACGCCAGTGTCCTCTTCTGGAGTACTTCTTCGTCTGTAATTCGTCCGTAATCGTCTTCCTGTAATTCGTCAATGAACATCTCACTAAGGAATTACAGGAAATCTACCAGAAATGCCGTAGTATTAACGAAGGTGTCCCATTGTAGAAACGACCTCATATACCTAAGGTCATTGAGAGAGCGTAGTTTTACGCTGCTTAGAAATAAATGAATTCCATTTATTTACATACATAATCATTATCACAAAAATATATTATCGCAAATGGTTTCGTTGGAAGAACTGTGACGCAGTGAACTTTGGTGCTTTGGAAGTTAGCTCTGTTTTGGGTAGAAATATTAGACAGGAAAATGGCAGATCACCCAAAACACCAGCTCTAAAAATGAATTCATGGCAACATGGAAGAAAATAATAAATTTTCAAAATGTCCAAAATTAATAAGTCCGGTAAGGAAATCAGCCATCTGTCAGCGTACTTCACAGGGAAAGGAAAAGTACCTAAGAAAATGAGAAATGGGATTCGATCGTTAGAATGTTAAAATAGTGAAGTTGCGAATTAAAATTGCTAATGTTCTAACATTGTGAGGAAATATGAGCTGTTTTAGCATCACTAGTTTTAGAGATGTTATGCTTCACTGCTTAGAGCAGTTGCAGTCACGGTGGCGCACGAGTACGTAAAAATATTTGAACTCCTTTTCACTTTTTATTCTTAATTATTACAGTATATGTAAAAATGCAGGGTAACACCATACTTGGGTGGGCTTAGCTTGAGACGCCATTAAAGATGGCGGAAAATATCATAATTTTGAAATGTCCTTACACAGTTTTTGATATCTCGTAAAGTTTCTGAGGTGTGCAATGATTAATGTTAATGAACCATGAATGAATGAATAATGATGATGTGTGATGATGAATGTTAAGTAAAATGTTGCTCTGGAGATATAAAAAATAGTAATTTGAAGCAAATTTTAGAAAAGAACCGCGCGATTTTATCTCAGATCGTAATGCAATTTTGTGTGCCGAGTTCCACATATCTCAAAAGAACTGATTTGGAGTTGTAGCTTTATAGGTGAAATGTTTTTTGAGATATAGCGATTTGTTTGACATGGGTTTTTAATGCGACCATTAAATTTTCTCAACTTTAGGAAACAATACTTCATTCTCTGATATCACTAAACAAATGAAACTGAGATCACGTGTACAATTTGTTTGCACTATTCATTTGATCTAATATTAATTTTCCATTCATTAATACACAATTGTAACTTCCAGCAAAATATAACCTCTTTAGGTTATCTTTTGTGGTTCAGCACTGAAGTCCCTTATTTACTGGTAGAAATGCAGGAACAATTTATATATCTTTATTTACTACTGAATGATATATATATATATATA